TACCAGATGTTTACAACAAATATTAACATACATCACTGCCTAAGAATTTACTATGAGTAACATGTTTAACTTCACTTAACATCTTGCCTTTCCCTGTGTTCCTTTGAAGAAGGGGAGAGGAAAAGGCAACTTTAGAACAGGGACCACATCTTCTGGAAGGCAGGCCTGCATGTAGAGAGCTACAGAGACTGGCATGGAGCTTTTTGTTTCATAGATGAGGAGTTAGAATATAAATTCAGAGAAAGGAAGGCAGGAACATCTACAGCCCATGAATAGATTTGCTTTACTAAAGAAAGATCATGACTGATTGAAATTTAACTGTTAAATCAGGGATTTTTTATTATGTAAAATGAACTGTGTGAGGAATCTAAACACTTATTTTTTTGGTCTTCCTTTGTCATAGATAGAAGAACATTTTAGTCCTGATATTTGCTGTAACTAATAACTACTGGATAAATAGAGAAGGCACATGGAGGATCTTTTACCTGGGTCCAACAAAAGTAATTTTGTTTTCTTTTATATGTTTGTTTGACAAATAAAAATTGTGTATATTTATTGTATATATTTTAAGAATTCTTGTTACAAAAATAATGTGTATGTGATGTGATGCACATATTAATTAGCTCAACTTAGCCATTCCAATAAAGGTAATATTTTAACTAGAAAATTTTTATCTTTGCTATTCATACCTCTTCCCTGATTTTTTTCTGTAATCTTCAGTTATTTACATCTAAAACTCCAGTTTTTACTGTTATGTGATGTATTGTAAAGGATCAGTGTAAGCTGTCATACCAGTTGATAATGTTTAGGTACTTTATATTATAAAAGTTTCATTTAGCATTATTGCATTTTTGAACATTTCGCAAAAAGGACAATGTTCAACATAAATGTAATACATTTCAGGCATTAGAGACAGGGCTTTAAGAAAGATAATCATTCACAGAATATTTCGATAGCACCTCTCTTACTATATCACACATTGTTTTCTATTTCTTATGGTCACAGTGATTATCCTACATTCACCCCATTTCATGAAACACAGGCAATAGGAATTCCTTTTTTCATTGTGATCCTGTTTATGGAGGTGAACCACAGGGAATGCCATTCTTCAGCACTGTGTTCTGAGCAGGCAGCATGAATTGGTTATTTTCAACAGTCAAAAGAAAGCTCAAAACATGTAGAAAAAAATTGATTTGATGCTTATTGAGTATAAAGATGATATAACTCTACGAATGTAAAATATAATTTTATTGCTTACTAAAGAAACATTAGATGCCTGGCAAAAAGGTAATGTTGTTGGTGTTGGGCAAGTACTGTGAAGAGCACACAAGTCACACTTGTACACCACGAAGAGCTAAATAGGACTATTAGCTGTGTTCATTGTCCAACACTGGTTTTGTAACTTGGCTGCATGCTTCTATTAAGAGGTTTTGGTAGTTATGTTCGCACAGACAAATTGAAGAAATATTCTCACGTTTTTTCCTTAGTTAATTGACTTCAATGAATGTCACTTGTGTAGGGGAAGTACAGATTCCACAAATTAGAGCAGTAAGGATCAAGCTTTGGCTTCCTATAAGAGTGGTTGGATATGAAGCATGTTACCTGGCACCTGGTCCGTTCATCATGATATAAGAATAGAAAGCCAGTTATATTTAGCCAAAAGGTGAGCCCAGAATAATATGCATATGGTTTTAACTGAAGGTGCGTTAAAATCATCTGGCTCGTACATGGTTCCTCTTTCAATTGGTTTTCCAAGTGCAGATGATACTTACATTTTCTTTATCTAACATCAATCCAAACACGTTAGAAACAAGATATATTTTTGAGTATTAATTATTTTGAAACCCACAATGGCCATGGAGAAACACAGCAAACTTGATAGTTTAATAAAAATTAGCTAACATATCAGCGAAAGATATTTAAGTATTAGCAGCTTATTTTAATAAAAGACTTTGTTGGAAAACACAGGGCATGATAATAAATGCTATAGTTAATAAAAGTTAGTCATAGAAGAAGAGAAGATTATGGATTAGATAAAAAGTATTCTGCCCAGGATAAACTTAAATCTTTAAGCACTTAGACATTATAGATCTTTTTGTGCTTAAAATGACGTAAAAATTTGTATTTTATATAATTAATTTGGAGGTAGTGTGTAGGATTTTTGGAGTGAATGGAAGTTACATTAGGGAAATTTACAAGGAAGCTCCGGCATTCTAGAAGATGGGAATAAAGAGGGAAAGGGTAAGTGTGGCTGAGAGTAAGGAGAAGATGGGGGAGATATATAATAAAATAAAGGAAGAGAATGTATTCTGTGGCACACAGAAGAAGAGGGAAAAATAAAAGATGATTCACTGAGAGACTAGGAGAAATCTAATTTTGCTGATAGTAAAAAAGAACTCAGGATGGAATTTCATTTGCGGATAGAGGAGTACAGGCATCGGTGAGATATTTAAGAAACATTTATTCAGCTTTTCTGGAATGCATTTGGAGCTTTGAAGGGAAATCCAGAAGCTAAATGTAAAATTGAGGGTGAGCCATACAGAGTTGATAGTAATTATTATAACTAGAAATAAAAAGACTTCCAAGAAAAACTGTAGAAGTTGAGTACAAGTTCTGAGCACAGAACTTTAGCAAATGCTCACAGAGCAGAGCAGGGGAACAAGGTTAAGAAAGCAAATTCGACTGGAGGAAAATCAGGACAGAAGTCCATGACAGAGTTGAGAGTTTGAAGGAAGAAACAGGTAACATTATTAAAAGCTAAGTAAAAAATGAAAATACGATAAAAAAAATCTCTGGAATTGATGATGGCAGGTTATCAGTAACCTTTAAGTTTTCAAATCCTATAGATTAGTGAGGGCAGAAATATTTATAGGCTCAGGAATAAATATTAGGAAATAAATCCAGACAATGGATTCCAATCATTAGAGATGTGAAACGAAGGGGGATTTAGAATGCTATATACACAGTAAAGCTTCCTAAGTTGAGATGCCTGTATATTTTCTTCTATAATGAGGGCAAAGGAGTTACTCAGGAACAAGAGAAACCTGAGGATGGTAGAGAGGGAGAGTAAATGGATAAAGAAGATTCTCAATGACAGAGCATGAAATCAAGACTAAGGATCATCAGTAAATAACGGACACCTGCCTGTTCCAGCACTCCTGTAGGAACCTTAGTCCTTTAACTCCTTTAATTTCACCCACGACCCTTCAGCTGGTCAATATTAGGCACTTTTCGCACATGAAGAATATGAGGCTCAGAGACGCTAAGTATCTTGCTCCAAGTCTCTGGAAACAGAACACATGTGGATCCAACACAGGAGCTGTTAGACTCTGAAGTTCACACTTTCTCTGAGATGAGACACTGTCAGTCATTTGTAATGTGACAAGGACTTAGTGGAGAGACACGCTGGGTGGCTGAGAGGAGCACAGTGAGTCACGGGCTTGCAGGGTCTCCAGTGCGGCAGAGGAGCAAATACAGTGAAGACCACTGTGTCTTTTCCCTCACTGATATGTCAGCTCTACGTGAAAATTAAGGGTAATATTCACCCTAAAAATCCATCATCTAACAACGATGGCACTTTATAGGTGTTTGCCAAGTTAATGGAAAAATGCCTGATTCAGATGCAAATCTGGAATCTAGTCAATAATAGTTGACAGGTTTTCTTTTAGTGAAATGTTTTTGAGCTTTTAGAATTTAAATTTGAATGTCTCTTTGAGGCAATCAAATGTATTCTCAGGCTCACTATTATTTTAGAAAAGCACTGAGAGGTGCTGCTGAGGGGTGCTGCTGGGAGCATCAGGACAGAGCAGTAAAGGAGGAAATGTTGGAGGAGAAGGAAGGTCTTGAGGAGGACATTAGGGAGAGTCTAGAAAAAATGGATGTGAATGTCAACTATGAAAGGGATGAGCATTTCTGGAACTACATGTTTTGCTTAATCCTTTATCACGTAAGAGAGTTGAAGCATTGACAGTCTTTCCCTTGTAGGTAAGAGACCCTAGTCTGTCCGGACCTGTTTCTGCCCTCAATGCCTCCTGCCTCCTTTCTTTCCTACTTTCCCTTACTGTGGACACTGCAATAAAAGGAAAGCTCATGAAGAGGCAGACATGGAATAAGAAGGAATTGGTTCTATTTTTTTTTTTTTTTACAATGTAGCTTGTTTTTGTTTAATGTTCAAAATTGATGCTATAACATTAGTTTTACTGACAAAGCACTTGCTGAGCAAAAGTAAGGAGAAGGGAGTCTCCATTCCAGTGTACATTCAAGTGAATTCATATCTTCCTCTCTGTCTTGGACAATGAAGAAGGGTCCTTAGACATCTGCTTTCTCTTCCTCCCTCATATCTAAAAAGTCTAAGCATTCAAATCCATATTTATTTTCTTTCACGGCCATAGCAACAGCAGCAAGTTGAAAAAAGCAAAAAAAAAAAAAAAACTCTGTCTCAAAAAAAAAAAAAAAAAAAAAAAAAGAGACCAAGGTGCAATTACAATCCTATCCCACAAAGAGGTCAAAGGCTACCCAAAAGACCAGTCGGCCGCAGGATCCTCAAAGCATCTAAGCCATTCGTATACTCTCAGGTATGTTACAGATGGTCTCCAATTTTATTTGTATCTGAATTTGTGGAGAGGATGCAGGGAAAATCATGTTTGTTGGCTTACCTATCCCGACACAGACATCAGGTTACTACTAAAACACACGATTCTACAGTTGCACTACCAGTAACAGTTCAAAAAGTACTTTCCTCATATGTTATCTACATTTGATGCTAAATGTACTTGTGAGTTATGTAATAATGTCCTCTTGCATATATAATGTTTATCAATAAACCAACATCATGAATCTGCCCAATAAAATCAGGTTTAAACATGGGTTTCCAGTTCCAGATTTTTCCTCCAGGCCTTGCTTCTTCCAAATCTTTCCTTTTGTAGTAGATTTACACATTTCATCAAAATGAGTCTAGTTGACACGTTTAAGGTAATTCTTTAACTTTCCAACCATATTCTTCTTTATTGCTTATCATTTGACCTGCTGGTTGTCATTTGAAATTCTGTCCTTGCCCTGGAATCTGAAGTAAGTTGGTAAAGACTCAGAATTCCTAATGTTGCAATGCATTATTTACTTTTGTAGTACATTTACACATTCCATCAAGATGAGTCTATTTGACATATTTAAGGTAATTTGTTAACTTTCCAACCATGTTCTTCTTCATTGCTTATCATTTTACCTGCTGGTTGTCATTTGCAATCCTCTCGTTGCCCTGGAATCTGAAGTAAGTTCGTAAAGATGTAGAACTCCTAATGTTGCAATGCATCATTTCTAGGATTTAACTGGCTTCCCTGACATCAAATTGTGTCTTGTAAAGGCCACAGTTTGTCTCTCTGATGTAAAGTAAATGTAATGCATGTTGGGTCAAGACTGTCATTTTGGCCAATAAATGACCTGAAGTACCTGCCTAGGGCTGGCTGGCATGTACAGAATGCATTCAAACAAGTTATTCTTACAGTTATTCAACAGCTTCTGTTTTTTTTCTGACTCCCTTCACAGATTAATAATCCTTGAATATTTTAATGGGAACAGATAACCAGACTTGGGTGAGTGACTTTATTCTCCTTGGCCTGTCCAGTGACTGGGACGCTCAGGTCTCCCTCTTTGTCCTGTTCTTGGTCATGTACATGGTGACCATGCTGGGGAACTGTCTCATTGTCCTTCTGATCAGACTGGACAACCGACTCCACACTCCCATGTATTTCTTTCTTACCAACCTCTCCCTTGTCGATGTCTCCTATGCCACAAGCATAGTACCTCAGCTGCTGGCACATTTTCTTGCAGAACATAAATCCATCCCATTCCCAAGCTGTGCAGCCCAGTTATTTTTCTCCTTGGCCTTGGGTGGGATTGAGTTTGTTCTCCTGGCAGTGATGGCCTATGACCGCTATGTGGCTGTGTGTGACCCCCTGCGATACTCGGCCATCATGCATGGAGCACTGTGTGCTAGGTTGGCCATCACATCCTGGGTCAGTGGCTCCATCAACTCTCTTGTGCAGACTGCTATCACCTTTCAGCTGCCCATGTGCACTAACAAGTTTATTGATCATATATCCTGTGAACTCCTAGCTGTGGTCAGGCTGGCTTGTGTGGACACTTCTTCCAATGAGGCCGCCATCATGGTGTCTAGCATTGTTCTTCTGATGACACCCTTCTGCCTGGTTCTTTTGTCCTATATCTGGATCATCTCCACCATTGTAAAGATCCAGTCTACAGAGGGAAGAAAGAAAGCCTTCCACACGTGTGCCTCTCACCTCACGGTGGTTGCCCTGTGCTATGGCCTGGCCATTTTCACTTACATCCAGCCCCACTCCAGTCTCTCTGTCCTTCAGGAGAAGTTGTTCTCTCTCTTTTATGCCATTTTGACACCAATGCTGAACCCCATGATTTACAGCCTAAGGAATAAAGAGGTGAAGGGGGCCTGGCAGAAACTATTATGGAAATTCTCTGGGTTAGCATCAAAGCTGGCAACTTGACTCACGAGCATGACTTAGAGAAAACAACTTTACCTCAGTGTTCACCCAACTCAGATCTCACAGGTGTAAACTATGTTGTCCTGGCAACCAGGAAGGAGATGACATAACATGAACTGTGGGTGTTATGTAGGAGGCTGAGTGGTTGAGTTGGATGGGGTGTGGGATGTGGGGTTATGTTTATGAACAGTGGAGTTAGATACTGCTGTTATAAAACTTCCCACACTTCTTCCACCTCCACTCTTACAGCCTGACAATCATTGAAAAAAAATTACTACTTACTGTTTTGATTTGTCACATCGTTTGTAATCATAAACCTATTCATGGATGTTACCTTAGACCACTGGTACTTATACATCCACATTTTATAAAAGGTCATGGTGCTTCCATTGAAAACAAAATGCATTTTTACATTTGAAGACTCACTTTAAATAATTTGTAACGTAGGTCATCATACGCAGTAATTGTGTGAGTCAACATTCTGAGAAAAGTGTTATTGTCAAGACTGACTAAAATGTTTTTGTGCAGGACCTACAAAAGGTGAACATAATGTCTTTTCCTGAGTGCCGGAGGTAATTCAGTGAAAAAATACCAACTCAAGGTCTTGTTTTACCTTTATAGGGTTATAATCAATGGTTGTTTGTACTAAAGACTATTATTGACCAAGAAAAGTTAAGCTTCAGGCACTCCTTGACAGTATCCAAACAGTTTGAGAAGAATTTTACTGCATATATAGGTATGCCATTTAAAATATTAAAAATGATTAATCTCTGAAAAATTCATAAGCTCTTCCTCTGAAACTTTTTTTATTTTTTATTTTTATTTTTTGAGACGGAGTTTCACTCTTGTTGCCCAGGCTGGAGTGCAATGACGCGATCTCAGCTTACTGCAACCTCTGCCTCCTGGGTTCAAGTGATTCTCCTGCCTCAGCCTCCCAAGTAGCTGGGATTACCGGCATGTGCCACCATGCCTGGCTAATTTTTTATATATTTTTTAGTAGAGATGGGGTTTCTCCATGTTGGTCAGGCTGGTCTTGAACTCCTGACCTCGGGTGATCCACCTGCCTCGGCTTCCCAAAGTGCCGGGATTACAAGTGTGAGCCACTACACCTGGCCCTCTCTCAATCTTCAGAAATACACAAAAAAGCACACAAATTATGAGATACTGTATAAAAGGTCAAAGACAGTTAATCTAAGGACAAACTCTTCAGCCAAAGTCAGTGAAGGGTAAGATAATTTAATATGAGTATTCAAACATCAAAGAAGGTCAGTTAGCTGGGCAAATGTTACCCTCAAGTCTCCACACTGAGAACTTCTCTTGCCCTCTCTGTCTTTCCCGCCCTCACACACACAACAGAGCCACAGGTGAACTTTCATAAATCTTGTAACCTGGGCTTGTCTGACAGTGGACTTCCCTTTGAAAAGAAGCATAACTGATATAAAAGAAGGAGAAGACATAATTGAAAAAGGGGAAAGAAAAGAAAGAATACGATCATAGCTGGTCTCTCTACTCCATTGAAGGTGTCAAAGTCCTTTCTTCCTTTTGCATTTTCTTTAAGTCAGTTGATTTGCATTTCTTACATTTGTCAACACATCATCATAGAATCTAAGCTTTCTTACAGTGTTGAAGACATATAACTCAAAGCCCATTTGATATCTGAATTTTATATTAATAGTAATGCAATCTTAAATTTTGCAAGATAGGCAGGCATCCTAAAAGATGACAATGCTGGCAAATTAAAATTTTATTTCAAGTATTATCAGTGGAGTATCTATTCTGTGTCAGTGTCAATAAATGGTTGTTGGACACAATAGTCAATATGATACCATCCTGACAAGGACAATTTTGCATAGTAGGGAAGACAGATGATGAAACAATGATAACGCATTGTGGTAAGTGTTACAGTGAAGGGAAACCTGCTGGAAATGATTGCAGAAGGCTTCCTATAAAAGGACCTTTGGGTTGAGACCAGAAATGTAAGAACAAGTTATCTAGAAGATAAGAAACCCAAACAAGAAACAACCTGTACAAAGTTGTAGAGATGTGAGCAAGAATGAAAGTCCAAAAAATGCTGGAAGTTCAATTTCAGGGCAGAGAAGAGTGAGGGAGTAGTAAGGATAAAGCAGGTAGGTTAGACATGGTCAGATCCTGGAAGGTGTCAAATGTCTAAGTATCTTTTAATTTTATTCTGATAGAAAACAATAGCCCATGGAGAATTTTTAGAAGGAGTACAGATTGAAAAAAAATCACATTTAAAAACTACCACTCTGGCAAATGAGATAGTGGAAAAAAAGATTAGAGGCAAGACGACCAGCCTGCCTGCTGGGTCTGCTTCAGTAATACTCTTGAGACGTTAGAGATGTCTGAATGAAGTTAGATGCAATGGGAAGGAGACAAGTAAAAGTAGTGTCATTTAAAAGCGATGTCAGCTAAAACACTTCATCTCCCAGATTGGAAATGCCATCTGAATCTCATTCCTCTTCTAAAATGTGAGGATACTGTCTGAACATTCTGTACATTGTGTAGTAAACTGGAAAATTCACCATCATGAACATGCCCTATATAAAATGATATGGGAAAGAGATAAGAAAAAAGTAATCAAAAATACCAATACATACATAATACATCAGGGAGGAAAATACATGAAGATGCTATATCTTCATTTCTGTCAGCAGTCATGTGGTCACAGTGTTTGTGACATCTCTCCATCAACCATCACACGATCCTTTGCCTTCAGACCCCTCCTAAGCATGTTGGGATTCTTCCTGGAAGGGTTATCCAAGTCTTGATATCTCAGGAAGCAGAAATGCTGAGAGTGGGCATTAGGTATGTGGAAATAGACTACTATAGTCTCATATTCTGTATTCGTCAGGGTTCTTTAGAGAGACAAGACTAATAGGATAGACGAATGCATGAAAAGAAGTTTATTAAGGAGTATTGACTCACACGATCAAAAGGTAAAGTCCCACAATAGGCCTTCTGTAGGCTGAGGAGCAAGGAAGCCAGTTGGAGTTCCAAAACCTCAAAAGTAGGGAAGCCAGCAGTGCAGCCTTCAGTCTGTGGCCGAAGGGCTGAGAGCCCCTTGCCAACCACTGTTGTAGGTCCAAGAGTCCAAAAGCTGAAGAAATTGGAGTGGAGTCTGATGTTTAAGGTCAGGATGCATCCAGCACAGGAGAAAGATGGAGGCCAGAAGACTCAGGCAATCTAATCCATCCATGTTCCTCTTCCTGCTTTTATCCTAGCCATGCCGGCAGCTGATTAGATGGTGCCCACCCAGACTGAGGGTGGGTCTGCCTCTCCCAGTCCACTGACTCAAATGTTAATCTCCTTTGGCAACATCTCCACAGACACACCCAGGAACAATACTTTGTAACCTTCAATCCAGTCAAGTTGATGGTCAATATGAACCATCATATATTCCATCTATTACATTTCAATGTTTATCTTTTTTATTTGGTAGACTTTTTAATTTCAAGGCTGCACTTTCTCAGTAACTTAAATCTTCATAAATTAAATTAGTTGGATCACCTTATGACTGCACACACTTGTAATTCACAGCTGCTTGTGAAAGACACTCCCCATAGAAGGCATGACCTTTATCTTGATACAGGAATACAAAATAAGATGCTATTCTAAACTTTATTGTTTATTTAGCCATTAAATAGAAAAAATTTAAAAAGGCACTGAAAAGCGTTTGAAAATAAAATGTTTTTCATTAGTTAATAACCAGAAAAACACCACTGAAGGTTTTCCTTAAAAATCTAACACATATACAAATTACAGTTTGTTCAAATAAGAATCTGAATGAGACCCATATATTCCAATTGTCTACTATGCCTCTGAGAATTCTTCTACTCTATCAATTAATAAATTTATAGTAATTTAGTAACCTATAAATTCTGCTTTCTTACTGTTGGAATTCTTTTGTAAATAAAACTGCATCATTTGTTTCTGTTGGATTTCTCATACGGTCTAGATTTTTTGCTGACATCCCTATAGTATAATTTTACATGTTATTTTATTTCTGTATCTCCCATTTAATCCAGAGGTTTCATCAGATTTATTTATTTATTTTTCTGACAATAGTATTTCACAGATGGTCACATGTCCTTCTAGCAAGAAGCACACAATGTTTGCAGCAAGAAACACAATGTTTCTTTTTTTTTTTTTCTGGGGATTGTTACAGTTATTATATCGCACAGGTCAGGATTTTTCAAAAGTGCCAAATATCTATTGACATTTTGGGCTGAATAATTATTTGTTATGGGGACTATTTTGTGCATGGTAGGATACTTAGCAACATTCCTAACATCTACCTACTAGATGGCCCTAGTACTCCCTCCCCACTAGGCAATGCCAATATTGCCCCCGATAGAGAAGGACTGACCTAGCTCTATTAATTTATTAGGGGTTCAACATGATGAGAGTCTATCATCCTTTTCTCTTTATAATCTAAAATACATTTACAGAGAGAAACTTCCACCTCATCACTATTTCATCCTCCTGAGGTACAGTTGGTATGAGAAAGGCAAAATAAATTTTTAAATTTTTCCTCTTTGCCACTTTTCAATACAACAAATGAGGTGAGGTTTTTTTCATTATAGTCGTGTACTCACTAATGTACATTTATTTGATGTGTCTTAATCCATGACAATTATTGTCTTTATTGATGTTCAAACTGCCCCATATTTGGTGAACATGAGCCTATTTTAGTTCCACTTTATTTTACAAAGTCCCACAAACTTTGTGACTCAAAACATTACAAAATTATTACCTTAACATTACAAAGGTCAGAGTCTGATATGGGTTCTACTAGGGCAAAATCAAGCTGTTGCCAGAGCTACGTTTCTCCCTGGGGTCTCTGGGGAAGATTCCATTTCTTGCTTTCCTGCTTTTTGAGCTGACCTCCACTCCTTGGCTCGTGGCTCCTCCTTCCACAAGACCAACAGCACAGCAAACCTCTCTGTGACTCTGATCCTCCACTCCACTCTGTCCTCCTTATGATGACAGATAAATGATCCTCTGTCATCACACATCTTTCTTCTGGCCCTGATCCTCGTATCTTGTTCTTTACAAGAAACTTGTGATTACACTGGGGCCACCCAGATTGTCCAGGACAATATCCCAATTTAAAAATCCTTCATTTAGATGCATCTGCAAGGCCCTTTTATCATGTACAATAGCGTATTCACAGGATATTCCATATTCATACAGGAACCTTAGTGTGCTACTATTTGCTCCCCCTCATTTTTACACTTTTATTTTCAAAGATTTTACATTAACATAAACTATGAATACAAATAATTGCTATGCTGCTTCAGCTTTGGCTGTGCAGAAGCTCTTTAGTTTAATTAGGTCAATTATCCTGTAGTCTGTTAAATATTTAAAAGTGAATTTTATGTTAACCTTAAATCTTACCA